ACTAAAGGTTATGTTTTTTTTTAAGGTTTCACAGCATCACTTTCCAAAAGTGCAGGTAAACACTGTCTGGTTGCACCAAAATCTTAAGTGGAATTCCCCTTTGACTGCCTGTTAGAAGTTTAGTTTTTCAGTATGACGAATGAATCTATTTGCAGACAGATATAGCATGAGCAACAGTGTTTGCATCATCAGTCTGTGGCACAGCTGCTTTATGATCTACAGTTGCTTGTCCGCTGTTATTGCTTTCCTCCTGTGTGTGTGTGTGTGTGTGTGTGTGTGTGTGTGTGTGTGTGTGTGTGTGTGTGTGAGCAAATGGATGCTGCTGGCTCTTTGGATATAAGCTAAAAAGAACCAAACAACGCTCTCATTGTGTCTTGACTTCTACCACAGACAAAACTTTTCCCTCATAAATGCTTGGAGTGAAAGTGAGGTAAACGAAGAGAAGCAAATGAAAGCAGGGGTTTTCTAATCTATAAATAAAAGGGAAAATATACCAAAGTTATGCAGAGCAGTTTTATTTTTTTGCTTATATTTTCAGTTTACATGCACATTTTACAGCTGTTCATTCACCAAGAAGAGTGAATGAACTTTTTTGGAGTGAACATGAATTTTTAGGTAATGGCAAAATGAAGTGCCCAGAAAAYGGCAGAAATTGACAAAATTGTGGGAACATTTTAAACTAAGGTGTAAAGATGACCCGTTGCAGTGCATGCACTGCATGTCCTTGATGTTGTTATTGAACAGAAAACAGCTTCTGCACTTACCGAATGACTCCGGAGTTGTAAACAAGTATCATTTACGTTCCCATTGCAAAATAGGATTACTTCTGTAATATTCTGTCATATTACAAATTAAGTAGGTATGGCTAATGTTACATGACTGATCATATTGACTACCTGGCAGTGTATTATTTAATAGTGTGTAATTTGTGTGATTAAAAACAGCACTTAATGTAGTGTAAGTGTGCCAAATATAGTATAATGATAAAAGCACAGCAGTAGACTGATACTATGGGCTGAACTGCATTTATTTGTTGGTATTCTATCTTGACTTAAATGATACGTTGAATATTTTAAGTTATCATATTTGTTTATAGCTTAGCAGTCTTAACAAAACAATTTATTGCCTAAAAATGAGAACATTGCACCAACATAATAATACCGTCTTAATAAAAATATGAATTTAGTTTTACTATTATTAACAATAACAAATAAACTACAAAACTCAATTTGCAAACCTCAAATGTTTACATTACCTCTTTTACTTACCCAATTTCTAAACATAAAAGATCACATTTAGTTTTCTAATCCATAAAACAGAACTTACAGCGTTGAGATTTTTCTGTGTGAAAATGATTCAACGACAGAGTGCTTTTAATTAATACACTCTCAAACCTCACAAATAAATACAAGCAATTGGAGCTTAAAATACATACAAACACAAYTGGTAAAGTAATTTTACTTTGATTGTATCAGGAAGTGTAGATTACCCATTCACAATATTAAATAAGCTTAAGTAGTTACTGTAGAACCTGGCAATTTTTTTATCTGGTTACTTGATTAATCAACAAATCAATAGATTAATCAATTACTAAAATAATCTTTAGCTGCATTCCTACTTCTATCAGTTAATATCAAACATGATGTAACTAAGAACAACTTTGTGTTGGTTCGCAAGGATCCTTTTCCACAAAGTACAAGTTAAACTGCTAATTTGGGTCTGACAATCAGTGAAAATATCAGTGTTTTTGTAATCAAAAGCAAAGTTACTTCAAATTCTTTCCATTTGAGTTGTTAAATTACAAATTAATGCAGTTACAGATAGTAAAAATAGTGTTCAAAACCTTTACTGCCATCCTAGGTTTTTGCTGACAGGTTTTTCCTCTCACAGCCAATTACTAAACCACAAACGCTCAACGCTCATGCAAAGTCAGATTTTTATCCTTTTAGACGTCTGTGATGGAGGCTGGTATGAAACGGTGGCACACTGACAGGTGAAAAAGTGCTGCTCACTGTTTTTTATTTTAATTTGAATAGACTTATGTCTGTTCTGAGTTAATGCTTTATGACACTTCTGTTTGATTATTCAAATAAAACTTCACATACGGTTTTTCTCTCCATGACCCATAAAGTTGCTAATATTGATATTTACTTTTAACCCTTTTATTTTGTTCCTGGCTTTCTAACAACACATTACTGGGTGGCCATGATGACTATAAATTATACATGTATAGGCTCTAATATGTAGGTTAAAGTGCTTCAAGGCCTGTTTCTTCGTTTGCCAAACAGGGCAGCACCCAGAGGCTGGAAATGTAAGGCAGGAAACTGTAAAACTAACCAGCTAGATTAATAAAAACGTGAACAGAAAGCTTCCAGTTCAGAGCAGCTGGTTTTGATAGTTTCATACACGTTTTGTACAATTGTGACTTTAGAGTTCATTTGCGAACAGGCGGCAGCCTGCTGGGAAACCCTACGAGCAACACTCCTGAGGCTGAGTCTAGCCAAGGTTTATATGTTGCAGATGGAGTGGGGGATCCTGGGACAGAGTAGATGAGTGGGGCTCCAGAACTGGCCCCGGCTTAGTTATAATTTTATGCTGAATTGTAACGAATAATGTTTTGTTGATTGTGATTAAAATAAAAACAGCAAGATAAAAGGAAAAGCCTTGAGTTCGTAATGAGGTTCACGAGCATCGTTTGCATTCAGTAGTTTTTCATCAAAATAACTAGAGCTGAAAGAATGAGATCATTAATCAAAGTACTTTAATCATACAAATATACAGACATTTTCTTGCCTATTAAATAATAAATATCTTCTGGTTGCTTCCAGCTTTACAAACAATTATTCTGTTGCTGCTTCTCTCTCAGTTTTCTTATTTTATTCTTCCAGCAACTTCGTTTAGTTTAATTGTGTAGCTTATTTTCTATTCTGCTTAATCGATATGACGGAATAAAGGTCAAATTAATATGAAATTGTTTTAAAGAAATTGTGAATTTTGAMAGCTAATATGGCTTTAAATTGTTCAGTGATTGCGAACTTTTATTAAAAACGAGTTAGACAACTGTATGAATCGGATCCACAGCTGAGCCGTAACAAACAAACAGTTTATGRACCTCGGCGTGTGTCTTCTGCTCTGTCACAGCTGGTCATGCCAGAGCTCAGGAGGGACGCTCCTCTGGTACGCTGTTACAGACGGGCCTGGACTGAAGC